AACTGGGACACGATTCTAGGATGGAAAGTCTGTGGCCTTGAGCAGCCAGCTGAATGTCACCCCCTCCTTTCTGTAAGGTAAGGATTTGTATTTAACAAGTTTCTAGTTAACACTGCTGCCAGCCCCCCAACCCCCCCAACCCCGCCGCCCCGGCGCCGACCGCTGCGAGATGGGTGACAATCACGCAGATGACTGGAATTTCACCGCCCATCCCCATTTCCCTTTTGCCTGCCTCCATTCTTCAAACTTGATATTCACCATATGGTTTTATCCGAAGCATGGCTGGGGCTCTCTGAAAGGAAAGTCTCATTTGCTGCGTATTGTAGCCATGAAAAATAAATCACAGGGGGGCTCCTGGCAGGCCTCGCGGTTGTATTACACGTGCTCAGCCTAAGCGCTTGGAGCGCACCGCCACATACAGGTGCAAAACCAGTCAGTGTCTCAGTGGAATTGGCAGCATCTGTGGAATAAAGGGCTTGGTAACCTAGTTGACTAAACAGCACCAGGTTTCTTTCATTTAAGGTGGTTCATTAGTGCTTAAAAATTCTAAAACAAAGAGTCTTGGATTGTACACATAGAACTAAAAGTATTCATATATACATAGTGCCCCTCAAAATGTACACAATACTTTGAATAATTATAAAGGCAGTATTTATTAAAATACATTTCATTTCCAAAATTGAACTATCAGCCGCTAAAGTGTAGATACGTTATTCTGGGACACCCTGTATATATATATTTTTTTCAGTAGTTCAGCATCTTTATAAGGTCCTGAGGGCAGACTGTGACATCCGGAAGATCTGTTCCAGCTGCCCATCTCCTGGTCTTGCAGGCTCTGTCTCAGGCCTGGTTCTCCTGGTGGAAACCGGACCTCAAGAGAATGGCCCACAAAGGGCAGTGTTCAGGCGCAGGGGGTAAGCCAGGGAAGAAGCCCGGTGTCCCCTCCTTTCTGAGTGCTCTACTCCCCTATGGAGCAGAAGCAGAGTGGGGTGAGGTGGCCTCCAAGGTGATTGCAGGTGTGAGACTTAAAGACCACCTAAAGTTCCCCAAGTAAAGTGTGTTGGGCAGAATGCATTGAAATTCCTTTGGAAAAACCACAATGATCTATAATAATAAAAGCATAATATGCTAATTAGACCGAACAGCTGAACAACCTTTTGGACATCCTTCCGGATGAAGTGGGCTGCGAGAGCCGAGGCAAGCCGGGATTGTGAGGACCGAGGCAAGCAGCGGCTGCAAGGGCCAAGCCCCCTTGCACGAATTTCATGCATCGGGCCTCTAGTAAGCATATAAAACCATATGTGATTAATTGGTAGCTCTTTAAAAAAAGATAATGACATTGGCGATGATGGGAGCTGGGTACAACCATCATCTATAAATTAGTATAACCTCCCTGGAAAGAGCCTCTGACCAAGCAATTCTGAGGGGTTCCAGATGGCAGAAAGGGAGCACCCTGCCCAGGGCTGGTTGGATGGGGAATAAGGGCTACCCAGAGTTTATACTGAAAATGATACAAAGCAGAGACCACGGAGCCACACGGTGGCCACAGTTAACCAAGAGCCCTCCCGACTGTGCCCGGCAGCGCCTAAAGAGTAGACCACATGGGCTCGAGGCTGTGTAAGGAAGAGCTATGCACCATGGAGAGTTCTGGTTTGATTAAAAATTTAAGACCTATCTATACAACTTTGCATGAACGAGTTATGGTGTTATTTTAACATTCCACTTTCAACCAGAAATCACTCAGTCTCAGTTTAAATTCACAAACAACAGTTTTCAAACACTCTATCAAGAGTAGCAATAAAACCCTTGTATATATATTATTAAGCATCCTACCAATTGATATCTTCACTGAACTTAACACCCAGTTGCTCTCTCATCATGTTTCCAGTTTCAATGTTTTTTCCTAAATGAAAAGCCTTGCCCTCATAGATCTTTCTGGAATATTCTAACATAAAATAAAGAAAGAAAGAAAAAAAAGCAACCATGGTCCTTTGCCGTCCTGGTCCCTATCACATCATCTCAGGCTTCTTTCCCTGACCCCAGCACTCCATCTCCAGCAGAGCCACTGGGAAACCGCAGGCACTTACAGCTCCCTGGATGGAGGACGGGCCAGTTCCTTCGTCCTCTTCCCCGTCTGGCTCCTGGTCTTCGTTGTCAGTCCAAGAGGATACGTCCTCTACTGAGCTGGTCAGATCAGGCAAACTCTTAGACGTTAACCTCAGGAGGTCCTCGGCCGAGGTTTCCTATGGAACACAAAGGTCCATGAATTATACGATGGCACCAGCAGTTCCAGGTCAAGGTCAGCGAAAACCAGCAGAGGCTGCTATGGGTGGTCACATGCTCCCAACCTGAACACTATATGGAACATATGTCCCACACTTCCAGGTTTGCAAGGTTACCTCAAATGTTAGGGGTGTGCACCCAATTTCAACACAAATCATTTTTCCCCCTGAAGAATCTGTGTTTCTTAGATGAATGTTTCTATGGTTAATCTAAGATCCTTGAACTTGTGATCCTCTGATGCCCTCCCCTGCCTTGCTTTCAGGATACAGTTTAAATCCCTCATTGAAGAGGGCAACATCTTAGAGATCTGGCCTCTGCCCAGCTCTCCAAACTCATCTCCCACCATCTTTCCTTCCATTCCAGCCACATTTACTTCCAAATGCCCAGGCTGTCCCTGGCCCTATCACTGCCTTTTCTACCAGCAGCCCTCTCTGCCTAGACCACGCATCCTCTCCTGACTAAGGCCTACTTGGGCAAAGCGTGAGTACCCTTTTCTGTAGGCCTTCCTGGATCCCATCAGGAGGCCTTCCATTCCCCTTTCTTCTCTAATGTCCTGTACTGTTTCTGTTACTGCCTTGCAGTGCATGACTTGTCTATCTCCCCCGCTTATCTGAGAGTTCCCCAAACTGAACACCATTTCTGCTCATCACTGTGGCCCCAGGCCTGGCACAGAGCTCAAATACCCACCGTATCCTCCTCTCCCCTCTGCTCATCTCACTGGCATATGTTCATGAGAGAGATCAGATTGTTTATTGAATCACAATGTCAAAGTGGAGACGGATGATGTCTTTGCAATAAATGCAGCCCATGAACAACTTTTCAAGGTCAATGAAAATAAATGGAACCAGACTCCATTAAGGTCAGACCTCTAAGGGGGCTTCATTGCCCACTGTTATCTTGCTTTTGCATTCTCAGTTCTATTCACCCTTTGAAGTTGAATGGGAAAAACTTCCCAAATTTCGGGGGGGTTGCTGGTCTCTAGTTTTTAGAGAGTTCTTGTCAGTATTTTCTAAGAAGAAAGAAGGAGAGGTAAAGTTTTTAAAACTCCTCCCTCCCTAGTCACATTTCATAAAACCTAATGAATTTTGAATATATGAGAGGGCTTAAACATTCCCTAAATATGAATCTGTGGATTCAGTAAATTAACCCCATGGATATATTCCAGCACAGGGAATTTTCTTTTTCTGTTCCTTTTCTTTCACTACAGCCTTGCTCACAGTCCAGGTGTAGCAAGCAAACCCGTTGTTGTTGTGGTTTTTAATTGATTTTTAGAGAGATGAAGGGAGAGGAATAGAGAGATAGAAACATTGATGAGAGAGAAACATCATCAATCAGCTGCCTTCTGCACCCCCACCCCCCACCCGCCCCGCTTACAGGGGATAGTGCTTGGGGAGGGCTCCAAGTTCACACCACCATCGGAAATATCAAAAAAAGCACAAAATTACCTACCTTGCTGGCCACGACCAGCTGAACCATTCCAGTGGCTGAGCGAAGGATGGCCACAGCTTCCTCGTGGGACAGCCCGACCAGTAAGTGACCATTGATGACCAGCAGCTCATCTCCTAAGGACAGTCTGCCATCCCTGAGAAAATGGAAATGGGAGAAAACTCCCTTATCAAGACATCCTGGGACCAAGAAGGGACATTGTACTGGAGCCGGGAGGGTGGTGATAGGAAACAGTTAAAAGCAGGCTAAAAGGAGGCAGGGGCAACCAGAAGTATTGGGATGGGAGTGCTTTATGCTTTGGTCTGGCTCAGTCCAGGTTCCCACTCAGAGGAGTATGCTCCGTCATCTTAGGTGGTCACCTCATAACAGGCACATTCGGAAGTCACCACCATGTAACCTGGGATTAATGCCAATGAAATGTCCCATTTGGGTGGAGACCATGATAGAGGAAGCCAGCCCTGAAGGTTATAGGATAGTCAAGTCATTCTTAATCCTATTTGCCATCCTTCCCTCAGACTCAGTCCTTAGTGTTTCATCGAGCTGAGCGCAAAGAGAGCAAAGGCATCATTCTCTAACCCACACTCTCTTTCTTCCAGGTGGCATACCCTTGGCCAGATTTCCTGTGGCACCTGGGACACCACACTGCATGTGTCTGTCCATTTCCTCCTCCCACAGGGTTGTAGGACCTTGAGGATAAAGTCTCTCAGCTCCTTTTCACCCTGTGTCCCTAGAGCCAAGCTTCATCAGAAGAATGAACACAAAAATGAAGAAAGAAACTAATTTATTGCTGTTGCAGGTATCAGACTGGTTTATAAATGTAGGTGTACAAATATTCTACTTCTTTCTTTTCTTTCAATTAAATTACAGCTGACTCAGAGCTTTCTTCCCTGGGCTGGCAGGGGCACAGTTGTCATGGGAACTGGCTCCCCTAGGGTGAGTCAAGGGTCTGGGGAGGCACACTCTGCCAGAGTGTTGGGTAGGCCCCTTCATGGTATATCAACAGTCTCATGGGTTCCAACTGAGCTCCCCAAGGGTCTGGTCTCCCATGATCCCAAAGGAGCCAGACATTATTCATCTTCATTGCTAAATAAGGGACAGGAAATCTTGTGAGGCTGAGAAACTCCCGGAGTGACTTAACCACAGCACCACCGAGATCATCCCTGCTCCCATCCCCTTATTCGTTTCCCTCTTTCATTCCATCTTGCTCTCCTGTTATTGACCAGAATGCCACATGTGAACTAAACACCCCAGAAGCAGACAGACAGACACACACACAACTCCCGGCTAAGGGTGAAGGGAAATGAGAAACCCACTATAAACAGCTCACAGAGAAAACAGACAAGAACAGCTCTGTGTAAGCTTATCTCTGGGCACAGGAATTTCCTAATTGCCAACGTTCCAAAGACAGACTAGAACCTAAGGCCTAGGATTAGTGGGAAAACAGCTACCCAATGGGAGTTACTTAAAGCATACATCATTTGGGAATTGAATGATACTCTCCTGGATAAAAACAAGCTTCATTCTCCAATAATTACTGTCACACAGATAAATGACAAGTGTAGTAAATCTTATCTCTACTTTAGTCATTAGCCTACTTTCTAGTTAGAGGACTGATGAGCAGGAAACACTTTGTTAGTCTGTACCCTGGTTCTCTCGTTAGTTTTGCATTCTTTATACTAAATAACCTTCAACTCCTTCAACTCCACCTCAAGAGATCCACTTCTGAGTGCCCTCTTGGCCTTGGGCAGGCCAATACTGTTCGGGTTTGCCATATCTCCCTCAGTATCAGGGTACCTGGCCCGAACAATATAAATTCCAGAACACTACATTCACCTTCCTCACCGGTGAAACTCTATATGCCTACTGTATACATGTGGGCATGCAACATGCACATACCCCACCGTGCCTTGCAAACAGTAGATGCCTTATGTACAGCAGGTCCTTGAATAACATTTCATTCAACATCGTTTCATTAAAATGTTTATGAGGTGCTGTAGGAACTTAACTCTTGTTTACATCAATTAGCCTATGGTAAAACTGGCTTTGTTATACATTGTTCTGCTTAAAGTTGCAGCACCTATCGATGTTAAGAGAGGATTTACTGTACAGGGTAGCAATGAGCTAGCATGGCAAGGGTATACCTTAAATTTGGGGACCGCTACATCCTTGTAATTACAACAGGACTTCCTTTTTTGGTACGAGCTCTGCCTAAGCACTGTCCCTCTTCCTATTGGCAGATGATTGTTCAGACTGGAAAAGTTTTGAGGTATGAATTTTTTTCAGGTTACAAGGAGAAAGGTTCACATTTACTTTTTCCCTGTCACATTTGCAGGACAGAGATACGAGTATATACGTGTGCATAGAGTCCTGACACCACATGTGAACTGTGGTCAAATTTAAAACCAATCACTTTCCCAAGTCATTAGCCACTGTCTTCTGGAAATTAGGATGTCAGGATGTGGTATTCTGTTATCTGGCACAGTCTTGATAAGAAACCACATATGACTGGCATCCAAAAGTTAGGATAAGTAACATTCGCTTGGAACTCAAAGTGGACTAGAAAGAAATCCCATTTCTCCTTGATGGTTTGGGGAGCCTACAATATCCCCAGCAATTAGCCACTTCCTGTGCTCAGAGCTAGGTTTAAATAGAACCACTCAGGCCTGATGTCCCTCTGTGCTCCAGCATAACCCTTGTGAACTGTAAAGGCCAGTGCTTTGACGAAGTGGAAGTCCCAGGGCCCAGGGACAGGGAAGGGAGAGGATAAGAAGGAAGAGAAAGTAAGAGAGTTAACTAGTCACCTGTGAGCGGCACCTCCTTCCTTCACTTGAGTGACAACGATAGCGTGAGGTGAGCGCTTTGATCCTCGGCCTCCACTAACCTGAATTCCCAGCCCATCCGATTCTTTAAGCAGTTCCAGCTTCCATATCCGGCCAACTTCCTCCTTGGAAGAAAAAGTGAGCACACCATGAAGTACACAGACAGATGCACGGCACTGAGGCAGGAGAGGGGAGCTGTTGGATCATGTCTAATACTCATCACTTTTCAACAGGCATCGCAGGTGACCACAGGAGACAAAATGCTGTGGATTGGAACAAGTCTCGCTGGCAGTGCTGTCCAATAGAATGTTCTCTGATGATGGGAATGGCCTATGTTTGCACCATCCAACATGGAGTCCCAGCCACAGGTGGCTATTCAGTGCTTGAAGTGTGAGAGGCAACTGACACAATGAATTTTAAACTTCATTTAATTTAAATTAAATAGCCACCTACTTAGTGGCTAGCGGCTATGATACTGGACAGCACAGCAAGACTGATTATTGAATTCCCTGAGCAGGATCCTGCTAAGTGAAGCTGTTTGTGCCTGAAACCCAGATATCACTGTGTACACAGCTAGTAATTAATAAGGGAAGATGAAAGGGAGACAAGCTAGGTCCTGGCGCCAGAAGACTTCCACTACATTGAGCCCAGTTCTGCCACTTAGTGCTTCTGAAAGTCACCTGATGCCTAAAAACATCCGTTTCCTTGCCTCTAAAGTGGGGATAATTATTAATATTTCAGGTTTACTATTAAAGTTAAATGAGATATTTATGGAAATAGGTGGCAATGATCCCAACATCTAGTTCCCCATTCTAGGTACATAATAAATGTTGATAGGTAATCAAACATTACTTATAGTAGTGAAATCTGCATATATGTTAAAAATATCACATTGAATTGAATCTAAAACTTCCTTAGAACATACACCAGTAAATGAGATCTTTGGTAGGAGAAACCAAACAGTAAATTAGTTGATGAATTTGTTATCGACTTCTACAGACATTGGTATATACACTCTT